AGTTTGTCTCCTGTAAGCTGTTCCACAAACAGTGCTGGCTGCTGACCGTCCGAGGTGATGAACACACGTGAAGAAAGAAGGTAGAGAGATTCTACTTCAGGCTCATTCCTGTTAAAAGACTGTTTTGTTTCTACAGCTAGGCCTTGCTTCTTCGGACCTACTGCGTGAAAGCCTCCCACCACAAATAATAACGGAAGATTTGGAAAAACAAATACCACTGTCCCTTGCAAGTCAGACTACTGAGCACAGCTGCTGTGTAAAAAAAAAATATCTTAAGGAAGAGAAACAATCACACTGACTGATACACTTCAAGGTTTGAGAGCTGCTTGAACTATACACTCCTTACAACGCTCAATTCATCTCTGTGGCACTAACCAACTTGCAAAGACCAAATTTTGGATTTTACTCTAATTCAATCAGAATTTCGTATGTGAAATTGCAACCTCAGCCCATGAAGTACTAACTCCAGCAGAGAGAATATTACTTAAGAAGTATGATCTGCTCCATTTATTAATCACATAGGACATCACTTTAATATTCCCCTACAATGTTTCAAATCCAAAGCATGACTTCAAGAGTTGAAGAGGCTTCAGTTTTTGCTGAAGCATAGACATAAAGGTAACACAAACAAGAGAAGTTATTCAAACACTGAAAAAAAAGATTTAGAGTGAAAAATCATGAAGTCAACAAGTGAAGGACAATCCTGAAGATCTGAAACTCATTTTTCAAGACTGGATCATTCCTAGCTGCTCCAACGAATATCTGGAGTTCAACTACATTTTTAGTTTTGTAGCAACTTTTCAAAGTCACCAGCACAGAAACATACATAAACCCAAACCGTGTAAGACTTCACATCATGAAAAAAGAGACAGAATGAGCAGCTCCTGCCAGGCTTGATAGCGACCACTTAGCAAAGCTAGGCCGTTCATTAATGTTGCATTTGCAGGACAAGAAGGAAGATCCAACCCCATTGCTGCTCTCCATCCCACAAACAGATGTAAATCGCTCTGTGCAGATTAGACAGACTCGCCCAGGCACAGGCCTGAGTTCGCAGCTGTCTGCACAGTGCTGTATTTTCAGATGAGAACGGGTCATCATTAAGCACCACCTTCATTCAAAATTAATTGTGTGCGATTCTGACTCCGCTCCTAATCACTTCCTAATATTTTCCTTGGCAGCCTGCATACTCCGATTACAGCAAGCATCATTTTGGGAAGAGAAACGGAGAGGCGGCACTTACGGTGTTGCATTTTGTCCCACACACCACTTGTCGATGGTTCAGCCACTGGGAGGCAAACACTTTATTAAGGGTTCCGAGGTGAAATTCTCTCTCCTTCAGGAGGCTGGGAAGCTGCTGGGCTGCATACCCATGCAACAGGCGGTGATAGCTGGACTCATTCTGCATCCTGACCTCTCTACCTTTCAGGTAGTACACCAGAGACCTTTTCACCGGAGGGAGTCTTTTCCTTTTGTGAACTGAGTGATCCCACCCATACTGTGGAAAACAAACATGGAAATTAGATAAAGCAACTGGAACAAACTTAAGACATGACCCTTCCAAATTCAAAGATATTCCCCACAAAATACTGAAGCCTTCCGAAGTACCCATGGAATACCGTGCACGAAGACTTAACTCAGAAATGCTGACACAGCCTTCATCAACATAAAATTAAAGATAAATATTTTCTAAATAAGTAACGCTGCGGCGATATTAAAAATAGTGCACACCGGCCCGGCACCGCTGAGATGCCAGATGCTTATAGAACCCAGAGGAAGCCAAGGAACGCTTCAAACAGGAGAGGGCAGCCCCGCCGTGAGCCCGACAGGTTTGGGGATCGCCCGATACCGACCTCGCCATCCCTCGGCCTCCGCCGGCCCGGCCAGGGGTACCCCCGCAGCATGGCTCAGCCCGGGGGCGGCGGGGACCCGGCGGTTACGGA